CTCGGGGGAGGCTTTGCCCTAGAGGAGGTGGGGATGGGAGGTGGGTTGGGGGGAAGGGGAGGGGGAGAACAAGGGAAGCTGTGGCTGATATGTAGAACTGAATGGTATTGTAAAATAAAATAAAAGGAAAAAAAAAGAAGCAAAGTAGTCTGATTCCTAAGAAATCTAAGATCACCTAAACATTATCCACATATTGGACACCACCAACAGTCATAATGTGCAAGTTTTTTAAATAAAAAGAACTGTTTATTTAGACAAATATACATCAAGAGATTTTTTTTTATCTGTACTATGGTTTTGTCTCTGACAATATTTGCAAGATGGCTTTCCGTTTCTGCCTCTGCAGCTGCAATTAAGCTTTATTCATGCATGCCTTACTACATCTTAAATGGTTCCACATCATGACCAATGAATGGGTTGTCAATCACAGCTGTCAGTCAGGCTTACTGCATCTTTTCAACTAGAAGTGTTCAGAAAACAGTGTTTGGCTTGTTTCTTAGTTCTGTTTTGTGCAACACCCCTATTTGGGGGCCATGATTTCCAGTCTTTGTGGGAATACCTTCCTACTGCCGTAACTACCTCTCTAACTTAGGGCATTAACCTATGATGGGTAATACCTCAACTATGGCTATCACATCCTAAATCTGCTCTAGCACATTTTGTCTCAGAGGAGGGCTATTATTTTGTGGGCTTTTGAAGGAAATGAAATTGAGATATAGTTCACTGGGGGAGGATTGTCATAAAAAATTCTCAGCAATTTAACAACTCAGTTATGGGCCCTGTGTGTTATACTACTGACCAGTCAGGAATATATGATGTAGCTATGAAAAGTTTCTGATAGGAATTCTGATCCACTCTACATTATAATAGAGATATAATTTCAAATATGGTCATATAGATCTTGTCAAAAGCCCATGGCTTGGGGAGGTCACAGGCCCTAACGGGAAAAGCATATTTGGTTTTTTGTTAAGTGCACATGATACACCTGTCAAATTGCCTTCTAATTAATGATGCTTACATCAATAGATTAGCAACACTGTTAGTTAAAGAAGCTTCTTTTTACAATGGGCAGTGATAACTTCAGACTCAAACTACTGAAAAATATGAATGAATATTAAGTGCTCAGCCTTGAATGGGAAAGTTATGCTAATTATTCCAATGATCAAGGAGTATCACAGTGAAAAGGGTGAAAGAATGTAAGATCCCTGGGATGGCATGGATGTTAGAGAACTCTGTCTTCTGGGCATGAATGGCTTTTGTAGCTGTGATTCCCTTCATAAAACTGGACCCAAACTGCTGTGGCAAGAGAAGGCTCACATGGTTTCCCTGAGGATCCATGGGCAAACGATAGTTTCTAGGGGAGGGAGGGACATTTCCTTCAAAGCCATGGCCACTGGTAAGATAGTCAGGATCGTGTCAATAATCTCTCATCTTAGCTACTGGAAGTAACCTGAAGGAAGCTTGTTGGGTCATCAAAAAGAAAAGAAAACAGAAAGTGAAAGTGGACATGTGGAGAAAAAGAATGGGTCAACAGGACTGGAAGGGTGACGAGAGGGTTATGGGGGTGGATATGAACAAAATACATTGTATATGTCTTTGAAAATATCAAAACAAAAACTCTCTGCTATGTACAATTGATATATGCTAATAAAAAAAGCATAAGTACAGATGGACACTTCACCTAGATCATCAAGAAGAAAAAGAGCCAAAGCAAAAATACCTGTGTTTTTGTGTGACTTTGGCAGACCACTGTTGTGTCTTCCATTTTATTTATATTTATTTATCTATAAAATGATTGAAGTTAAGACAATTCCATTTATAAGCACTACAGTCACAATATTTTATAAGTAATATATCAAAATTGAAAGAGAATTATAATATTTTTATGCCAGAAACAATTGAAATTTTCATTAAAGTACCTAGCCTCTCCGCAGGTTATGTATGTGTAATATATACACATACATGGTGGGGGCGGATCAGTGCTGAACACAATCCTCAGCCCACGATACTTGATCAGCAGTGTGTTTCTTGGTAGA